TGTTTGTTGATTATTATATTATTATTTTAGTTCTTCTATTGCCTATTGTTATAGTGGTTAATAATAAACCTAAATCTTCACTTTCTCTCTCTCCTTTTTCTCTTTTTGCTAACTGGCATGCAGTTACATTTGTTTTTGACCTAATCTGAAAGACATTTCCTTTTATTTAAACTCAGAAGTCACTGCCATTTGAGTCAACTCTGGCTTATAGTGATCATATAGAGTCGAACTTCTCTGTGGGTTTCTGAACTGTAAGTCTTTAGGGGATCGGAAAGCTTCACATTTTCCCTTCAGAGCAGCTAGTGGGTTCAAACTGCTGACCTTGCAGTTAGGAGCCCAATACCAGGAATTAAATTTACTCACATTTATTGGGATTGCATCTACCAAAATCCCAAACCAAACATGTTACGTTACAGTCAATCCCAACTTAATCCTGTAGCACTGCAAACTTATGGGGAGAGAGCATCACATCTTGTGGAGTGAATGGTGGTCTTGAACTGCCAACTTTCCAATTAATGTTAGGGGCATAGCCACTGCAGCACTGTCGTGCCTTGTGATTGTTATATGCCTGGAATAATTCTTGCCATCCCAGTCTCTTGCTCTCTCTCCCACCATATCTATATGTATACTCACTTGTCACTTATAAACATAGTTATGTTCCAAAGACCAGATCATTATGTAAACATTTGTCTTATGTTAAAATGGAAGATGACAACATCAGATCACAAAATGGAAGGCAAAGTATATCCTGACATAACTGCCAAATTTCATCATTAAATAACTACCAAAGCTCATTATTACTAAATTACTAAGCCACTGAGAATAATAGCCCAGCCAAACTGATGCATAACCTTAACCAGAATAGTCAGCATTGTTCTCACCTTGCATCTTGGTGTCTGTTACTGCCAGATGTACATTTTAATGTATAAAATAATCAGATTTTTACTTATCTTACATGTGTAATGCTGGATTATGAGATAATTGATAAGTAAGGAGTGGATGTATATATATTCTCTTCACCCTAATTCCATACTTTCCTCGTTCTCTGGTAACTACTAATATTTTGTTCCCATTTGTCTCAGTAGACTTATTGTTTCTAGATATTTCATGTCGGTGGCATGATACAACATTTATCCTTTTGTGTCTGACTCATTTCACTTAACAGTGCTTTCAAGATTCATCCATGTGATAGTATGTATTAGAAGTTTGTTATTCTCTATAGTTGATAATACTGACTCACAGTTGCTTTATCCATTCATTTATCTAAGGACACATGGATTATTTCCACCATTTGTCTATTGTGAATAGTACTGGGATGCACATTGGTATACATGTTTGTGTCAGTCACTTCTTGAAATCATTTGTTATAGACTTAAGTGTAGAATTACATGATCTCCTGGCATGTCTCCACAATTTATCTGTTAGCTTGTTATACTGTGGCAGCTTGTATATTGCTGTGGTGCTGGGAGCTATACGACTGGTAGTTTGAAAACTAGCAGGGTTACTTTAGGGGAACAGGTTTCAGTGGAGCTTCCAGGCTAAGAAACAGTAGGAAGGAAGATCTTTCAATCTACTTCTGTAAACACAAACAGTGCCTGTACATGTGGACCTCACCAGATAGAATACACAGGAATCAGATGGGCTACATCTGTGGGAAGAAGCTATGGGGAAGCTCAATGTCATCATTGAAAATAAAGCCAAAGACTGACTTGCCCCTTTGCCAGTTCAAGTTGAAGCTGAAGAAAATTAAAACAAGCGCACGAGAGTGAAAGTCTGATGTTGAATATGTACCACCTGAATTTAGAGACCATGTCAAGAATCGATTTGATGCATTGAACACTGATGACTGAAGACGACAAGAGTTGTGGAATGCCATCAAGGGGATCTTACGTGAAGAAACAAAGACAAGAAAGAAAATACCCAAAAGGATGTCAGATGCCTGACCTGACCTTGCGTTTGAATGTACAGTAACTAAAGCAGATTGAAGCAAGGCTGAAGCAAAATTGGTGATTTCAAAGATTTCAAAAGGAAGCCTGAGAAGATGAAATGTTATAATGAAAGGTGTAAAGGCCCAAGGTTAGAAAACCAACAGGGAAGAATATGCTTGACTTTTCTCAGGCTGAAAGAACTGGAGCACGATTTCAAGCCTTGAGTGGCGATATTGAAGGATTCTGTGGGCACAACATTGAACAATGGAGGAAAAATGAATTCTTCTGATGGAAAGAATATAGTCAGTGTACCACAAAGAATGGTTCGATGTTCATCCATTTCAGGAGGTAGCATATCAAGAATGAATGATATTGAAAGAAGAAGGTCAAGCTGTAGTGAAGGCATTGGAGAATAACAAAGCTCCAGGAACTGAAGAAATAATAGTTAATATTGTGCTGGAAGCACTCATTTGTGCCATGAAATTTGGAAGACTGCTAACTAGGCAACTACATGGAAGAGATCTGATCTCTATTCTTGCACATCCCACAGAAAGGTAATGCAATGGAATGCAAGAATTATTAAGGAATGCCATTAGTGTCATATGTAAATAAAATTATGCAGAACATAATTTAAAAAATGGCTGCAGAAGTACATCAACAGGTCACTGCCAGAAATTCAAGCCAGACTTTGAAGATGATATGCAACAAAGGATATCAATGCGACATCAGCTGTATCTTTGCTAAGTGCAGAGAAGACCAGAAAGATACTCACCTGTGTTTAATTGACTAGTAAAGATATTTGACTATATAGATCATAACATATTATGGAAAACACTGTGGAGAATTGCATACTTAATTGTGCTGATGTTAAATCTATCAGTTGACCCAGAAGGCAGTCATTGGAACTGAACAAGGGGATACGGCATGGTTTAAAATCAGAAAAGGCGTGTGACGGAATTGTATCTCTCACCACGCTCCATGCTTATTTAATCTATATGCTGAGCAGCTGAGTTATATGAAGAGTGCATGGCATTAGAGCTGCACGAAGACTTATTTGCAACCTGAAATGTGCAGATGACACATTTGCTTGTTGAAAGTGAAGAGGATTTGAAGCACCACTGATGAAGATCAGAGACTAGAGGCTTCTGTATGGATTGCATCTTAACATCAAAGAAATAAAAATCCACACAACTGGACCAATAAGCAACATCGTGAAAAACAAAGTTGTCGACAATATCATTTTACTTGGATCCACAGATAATACCCCCAAAGCCACAGCCAGGAAAGTAAATGACCTATTGCATTGGGCACATCTGCTGCAAAAGGCTTCTTTAAATAGTGCTGAAAAGCAAAAGTGTCACTCTGAAGACTAGGATGTGCCTCACCCAAGTTATGGTATTTTCTGTTGTCTCGTGAAAGCTGGACAGTCAGTCAGGAAGACATACGAGGAATATTTGAAATGTGGTGTTGGTGAAGAATATTGAATGCACCTGAAAGCTGAACAATAAGGAAGGAAGGCAGAAGAAGATGTTTGAAAATACCTGGCGAAGAATATTGAATGCACCTTGCACTACTAGAACAAATCTGTGTTGGAAGAAGTTTAGCCAGAATGCTCCTTAGGAATGAGGGCGGAATCCTCAGAGTTTGTGGTCTCCCACACTTTGGACTTGTTATCAGGAAGGTCCAGTATATGGAGAAGGACATCATGCTTTGTAAAGTGAAAGTCCGCATAAAAGAAGAAGGCTTCACGATGATGGGTTGACCTAGCATTTGCCACAATGGCTCAAACCCAGAAACAAAAGTGAGATGGCACAGAACTGGGAGGTTTTTCATTCTGTTGTGCGCAGGGTCACTATGAGTCGCAACCAATTCAATGGCACCCAACCACAAAATAACAGTAATCTAACTATGCTTAACTTGTTTAGATATTACCAAGTTGTTTTCCACCATGGCTTCATGGTTTAATGTACCTATCTGCAATATATTTCCCAGTCTCTACACATTTTGTCCAGTTGTTAAATTCTTGCAACAAATGTTGAACAAACATTTCTAATTGTTTACTTCTGTGAGCCTCCAGTACTGATTATTGACTGTGAACAGGTATATACAAATCTGTGGGTCAAGCGATTTGGGAAATGGTATTCATAGCCAGTGTGCTAATCTGAATGAATATATTATAATGTACTTACAAATCCACAATCAATGCCCATTGATTGGATAATGTAACTGAATTGATCCTTAGCGTTAATGGCTTTAAAAAAGTCTCTAATCTTTTTTTTGTCCCAATGTCATTGCCTTAGCAGTACCTTCGCCACTCTTTTCATAACTATGCAAATTTTTGGCAGCTATAACAATAGGCTCAAATATACCAAGGATCATGCAGATGGTGTACGTCTGAGTAATATTTTGTTATGTTGTATGTAAGGTCACCTTGAGTAAGAGTTCACCAGATGATAACTAATAATAATATGGAAATTCATGTTAACTTTTTTCCAGTACAAGAAAGTAAATTACACCTAACCCATTTCTTTAATTAACCCCCTTAAATATCTGCAATGTAAGCAGAGGCACATCACATGTCTTTCATAGACACATCATATGTCTTTCCAAGACACATCATGTCTTTCAAAGGCCGACCTGCGTTCTCATGTGAGCTGGCATTGATGAGAGTGGGCCAAAGGTAATGGGTGTGGGCAGCATTGGGTGTATGATTTCATCATTGATATTCTGCATGCCTTAAGGCGTATCTTTCCAACTCAGCTAGTCACTTTCACTTAAGGCCTTGATCAGTTGCAAATCCACCTGGGATGGGTTTTTAATTTAGTCATGAACATACTAGCATAGATTAATTTGCTAGACGACCGAGGTTCAGGCTGCATGACTGCAGAGAACAGTTGGCAGTCTATTATATCTCTCAGATGGTGAACTTTGGCACCCAGTTCCTATAAGATTGCTCCTGGGGTCAGGAGGAGGTACCACATAGAAATCTCACCTACTCCTTGTGTATGTGGAGCACTCTGTCTAGAAAGTATTGTTCTTTATTAATAAATGTCTTTCTCCCCCTGTGCACAGGCAACATGTCGGCTGAAACACCAGTCACTCTGACTATCGATCCTCACGACCTGCAGGTCCAAACATTTACTGTGGAGAAGCTACTGGAACCTCTCCTAATCCAGGTATTGACCCTGTGGGACATTGTAGTGTACAGTAACTAGAAGAGAACTGAAAAAACCCCAAAACAATAGATAATGGATGAAAGGAAAGATTTGACTTTTATACAATAATGTCACCCCAATTTTATTTATTTGAGGCATTGTTTAGATGAAAATATTAGTAATAAAAATAAGAATAAAACTTGGATATAGACTTTAGATACAGCATTTTCTTAAGGCAGAACTTGTAAAACTTTATTACGTTGATACAGATTTAATTTTTTTGGTCTTTAAAATTTTGTGAAGGAAGCCCTCTTCAGGCCTAACCTACATCAAAATAAAATCGTTTCTTTTTCTAAGTTCTCAAGACATTCGTGCTACTTGCTTGAGACATGACATGAACCTTATTGATTATGATAATTTAAAATGTAAAAAGGCAATTCAAAACATATTCCTCACGGATGGCAGTTTTAACAGTACTGACACTTGCTACGAACAAGTGGCAGCTTCATAAAGTCCCTATCTTAGCCAACGACTAGACGGGCTCGTGTTCAAAGAAATTAAAAAAAATTTAATTATTGTCTTTGATAATTAGAGTTTTATTTATTTATTTTTCAAAATAGTCCCTTTATTTCTTTTTAAAGTAAATCATTTTATTGGAGGCTCTTATAACAATCCATACATCAGTTGTATCAAGCACATTTGTACATGTGTTGCCATCATCATTTTCAAAACATTTTCTTTCTGCTCGAGGTCTTGGCACACTTTTTTCTTCCATCCTCCACCCTCCCACCCTCGTGGACCCCTGATAAATGATAAATTATTATTATTTTCATATCTGGCACTGTCCTCTACCTCCCTTTACCCACGTTTCTGTTGTTCGTCCCCCTGGGGTTGTGTTATACGTTGATTACTGTGATCAGTTCCCTCCCCCATCTTTCCTCAGCTCCCCCTACCCTCAGTACCTATCGCTACTCTCATTACTGTTCCCGGGCGGGGATTATCTGTCCTGGATTCCATGTGTCAAGAGCTCTTATCTGTACCAATGTATGCTACATGCTTTGGATTAGTTGGATTTAGATAATGACAGTTTTAAGGGAAACATTAGAAAAGACAAAACAAAAACAAACCAACAAAAAACCCCCAAAGAATAAAAATCTATAAGTTTGTCACTCAGAGAAAATCATCAATATATTTATGCCTTTTTTCCAGTACAACAAAGTTATAGATGATTTTTATTACCTTCTGGGACTTTTTAAATAATAAAAAAATACATATGTATACAAACAAGACTGAAATAGTACTACATATATAGATTTTATTACACTTTTCCATTTAAAATTACAATTTGATCATTTCACTTTCTTTGTTAAATATGATTTTATAAAATTACTGCTTACTAATTCATCATATGAGTGCACTCTAAAATATTTAACTAGTTCTCATTTTAGACATTTAGATTATTTTTATTTTTTTACTTTATGGAAAAGTGCTAAAAGCCTTCGTATATGAATTTTTAATCACCAATTCAATTGTTTTCCATAGGTCTGATAACTAAAAGTAGAAGAAAAGATGAGGTAATTTTTTAATCGTTTTATTAGGAGCTCATACAACACTTATCACAATCCATACATACATCAATTGTGTAAAGCACATTTGTACATTCATTGCCCTCATCATTCTCAAAACATTTGCTCTCCACTTAAGCCCCTGGCATCAGGTCCTCATTTTTCCCCCTCCCTCCCGGCTCCCCCTTCCCTCATGAATCCCTGATAATTTATAAATTTTTATTTTGTCATATCTTACCCTGTCCAACATCTCCCCTCACCCACTTTTCTGTTGTCCGTCCCCCAGGGAGGAGGTCACACGTAGATCCCTGTAATTGGTTTCCCCTTTCCAACACACCCTCCCTCTACGCTCCCCACTCACACCACTGGTCCTGAAGGGATCATCTGCCCTGGATTCCCTGTGTTTCCAGTTCCTATCTGTGCCAGTGTACATCCTCTGGTCTAGCCAGACTTGCAAGGTAGAATTCGGATCATGATAGTGGCAGGGGTGTGGGGGGAAGGAAGCATGAATTTTTATAATTTTCTATACATTTGACCTATATGCTATATGCAGAAGCATCTCATAAAGCAACAGCTTATCACTCTTGCTAACTGCCATTGGGCTGATTCCACCTCATAGCAACCCAATAGGACAAGGGAACACTGTGGGTTTCTGAGACAGTAACTCTTTTGTGAGAGTAAAGAGCTTCATTGTTCTACCACAGAGTGGCTTGTGATTTTGCACTGCTGACCTTTCAGTTAGCATATTCCTTATCAAGAACCAAAGTGTGTGTTTCAAAGTCAGACCAATTCATTATTCAGTCATTGTAGATTTGATATTCAACCTTCTTATACTTGTTCTTTAACATATGTCACCTGTCATCACAAGTAAAAGATTCCATTAAATTATATTAAAGGTGCTTTTTAATAACATCATGATAAATGTTTCACCTTTGTTTTACTTTTTTCCAAGAATGTTTCATTTGAAATCACTACATGGATTATTTAAACATACAACATAGTCTCCAATTGCACTGAAAATCAATCCAAAGGAAGTTCATTATCTTCAAGTTCATATTTCTGTCATATCAAATTATCAATGTACTATTTAATATTGCTAGGTGCTGTCTAGTCATAGCAGCCTGACTTATAACTGCCTGGTCCTGCACTGTCTGTACAATCCAAATTCTGGCTGGGCTTTTTCCAACACACATTTATTCGCTCTTCTGGCAGTTCATGGTATATTTAATATTCTTTGTGATCAATTTAGTAGCTCTGTTAAAATATTGTCACTTATTCTCATTATTTACTTTTTTTATATGCCTCTACATTCAAGGTTCCATACATATTATTTACCACCACTATATATATAATTCAAAGTCAAAATTACATTTTAATTTTTGGAGTAATTGATCATAGGTACTATTATGTCAGTCTGACTTCTACATTCATTTATTCATAAATCTTTATTTTGACCTTTTTATAGTTATCAGAGTCTTCCCTACACACCCTGATTTATCTCTAATCTTTTTTTCCTTTTGGGCACAGGTAAATCACTAGGCCATTTTGCAGGGATGTTCAGACTGGAATATATTTCAATCATTCACTTTTATTTTCTCTATGTGATAACTTCCACAATTCCATCCCTCTGTAATAAATTCCTCCAATGGATCAGAAATGCTTTTTTTTCCTTCGGCAATTACATTTTTATGATTGTAACCGTAGGCATCTGTACTTTATCACTTTCAAGATCCATGCTTGGCAATGCAGACCAGAAAGTCAATTTATGCAGAATTGTGCTTAAAAGTTTACATCTCTGTATTGTGTATTCTCTGAAGAATACACAATCCAGTTCATGCTGGAGCCATTATGTTATGGGACTGGCTATAATCTACGTCAGAATATAATTTGCTACATGTTGGATTCATGTTGGAATTTACTTATTCAAGACTTCATTAAAATAAACTAATTCCTTATAATGTGTCATCTCCCGTGAAGTAGGTTTATGGGCGCAGAGGTTCAAATGTATTTTCTAATGTAAAAATTTAAGAAATATTTCCAAGAGATACAGTAGCAAACATGATGCTCTCACCCATAACTACATTGGGACCTTTTTGGTCCTCTCCACTTTCTATCTCCATAGTGTGTCTCACGTATTCGTGGGACTCCCTCGGGGGATGTCTCTTAGATAACCTATTAGCTTCATTGGGCTAAGATTCAGAACATCTGCACCCCCCAGTTTTAATCCATATGAGATTATGCTGTAGGAAGAAAAGCAACCCACCCAAGTCTCCGAGATTTAACTAAACTTCATTTTCCCTCCTTTTATGGCAGGGCACCTCCCTGCCCATTACAGCCATTTTTGGACTCAAGCTACTGTGGGCTTCATCTCAACACGTGCTTCCGTTATCACAACAGAAGAAAGAACTTGACATGTCAGACAAGTGCCACTTCTGTATTGCATTCGATTAGGTTCTCTAGAGAAATAAAGTGACATATATATATCCATATATATATATCCATAGGAAAGAATTTTTTTATCTAGAAAGAAATTTATATCAAGGAAGGGGCCCAGCCTAGTTCAACTCAAGTCCATGAGTCAGATGCTAGCTGGAAACATCTCCAGACTCATGTAGCTTCTAGCCTACCAAGCAGAAAGGTGACGTAGGAAGCTGGGTGGGAGATCCCAGGCCAGTGGGTGCAGCATCATGTGAATCCAAAGTTGGCAGGGCCACAGCATGGCATGACAGATTGCAGGCTCAGAAAGCCTCATGGGCCACTGGCTCCAGCAGCCAGGCACAAGATCCGAGCAAGCAGGAAGGAGGAGTGGGACAAGCGAGAGAAGTTCTTCACAGCGGTTTTTTTTTTGTCTTTTGTTTTAAAATGTTACCTCTCCAGGGAGACATCATTAGTCTGTGTCCTGATTGAGACGTTGGACTCCACCCATAACTTCCCAAGGGATAACCAGGTTGACACAAAACCTATCACATGTTTCTACCTGGAAGTGGTCGTGCCAGTGCCACTCATATTTCTTTTGCCAAAGCATTCAGGGTGAATGCTGGGTGTCTGATCCTTTTCCATGTCCAGAAGGAGAATGGGGATATTTTCAAAGAGCCCCACCGACTATTGCTTTCCTATGTTCTTTAAAAAAGGGGTTCTTTTGTTAAATTTTCATCTACTGTCAAGTCACCTTGGCATTATAATCACAGCTGATTTTATCACGGTGGGGAACTTATGGCCACTCAACTCCTGGGCTGTGAGGTGACCTGAACGAAGAAGTCTGCCTCTGAGATTGGTCATGAGTCGATCCTGTATCATCTTCCCTTTGGGGAGCTGAATAGATATGAACAGGTAAGCAGTTCGGACTTAGAGTTCAGTGGTTATACCAGGAACAAACCTCACAGAAAGAGGAGACAGAAGATTTGAACCATAGTGATAGTGGAGTAGCAATTTGAATCCACAAACTCTTGCTGTTCA